TAGATATATATTTAAAATAAGAAAACAATATATCAGTGCGAAAAGTCAGTCTGATACCCTGAATATCAGGCGTCAGAATGAGAGACGTTTTGGGTTTTTTGCGTACCGGAACTGCTTCAAAGTACAAGAATGTACACTGGCCTAAAAGTGAAAGGTCAATTTCACCCACTGAGTGAACATAAAATCATACAGCTGTGATTAGCTATAACCAGGGTATTTAGAGTTAAAAACATTATATACATTTTATAAATATTTAAGGAAAATTGGAAGTCAAGTTAAGAAGGGTGAATGTACTAGGAAAGTGCATTGACCAAGCTAACCGAATTCTTATTGATTCACTTTTCTTGGGGAATAACAATTTCTCTGAATTGACATAAATGAGGGTGAAAGGCTCAAACTGGTGTTTCTACACAATTGGGTGGATGGACATTTGGGATACAGATGGTCAGGTTGGTCAGGTTGTTGATAAAGGGGATCTGAAATGATTTGATTAAGTATCTTCTGGCTCCCACCAGTCTGAAATATTAGTTAGATATGTCAATGTTTGGTTGATGGATGGCTTAAGGATAACTAGCAATGTCATTTTATGACTGGAAGAATTTGATGGTACCAAATAAAGTCTCCGAAAGGGACCAATTAAAGTAACTAATTATTAAGATTGGATATGAGTCATTTTTGTATGACATACGACATTATTTCAGGGGGGAGGAGCCACAATTGTCAGAGATACAGTTTTGTCACATGTCGAGGGAGCAGAAGCGATTCTGGGCCCCACCGTTGACTTGAGAGGTTCTCTCTGTGTATTGAGAGAATGGCTCAGATGAACTTGTAACTTTAGGAGTTGTACAAAAAACCAACAAGTTCTTCAAAGATAGCTATGAAAGAAAATGAACACAGTAGTGACATGCAGATATTCAGGCGACAGAAATATATCCTTAGGGCGACAGCTGTCGCCTAAAGGTCGCACAAATGTCGCTCAAAGGTCGACATTGTGTGTGTGTGTGTGTGTGTGTGTGTATATATATATATATATATATATATATATATACCGAGTGCTTTAAGTGAGTCTAAACTTTTGATGGGAAGTATTTATCACAGTTAGAAATTCTGTCAATGCTAAATAATGACATTGCTTTTTAGTGTCGAACTGAGAAGGTTAATCGGTAAGAAGAACGTGTGGTGAAATAGACAAATGAAATTATATAAACAGTTTAATCGGTAATCTACTGTTATAAAGCTCGCGCCTTTTAAATATCAACAAAACATTAGAAAAATAGCTCACATCAAAGCCTTCACCAAGTACTCACCGCCTATCGTGGATACCGAACCCTTTTATTTGCAACCTGTTATTACGTAGCACCAAAGGTAGGTGGAGGAGGTGGTGAAGGTTGAGGATGAAAAACTGAAAAATACAAAAGGTCAAATTAGTCTAAATTGACCTGAATATGGTAAGTATTACATTCCATAGTACTAGGTCATTAGTCTAAGTATGCCTAAATATGATATCCCAAACTGTCACAATGATAACCTTAACTGGATATGCAACTGCAAAGTACATTGACAATAGTATATGTCCTCAAATATTCCTTAAAGTCCACACAATAAATAAACCAAGTATTATCCTGAATATTCTGCCACAATCCTAAAGATCAATACAATAGCAGAAAACACAATTTCCCAAATATTAAATAATGAAATTCACGCTGAAATAGGCTACACGAGCTCTATAAAGTTCAGATAGAGTAAAGGGAAGCAACTCCGTATGGCTTTTTCTGCATGTAAAACTGTATAATATTTTATGAGCGCTTATCTTGAGCAACTTGAACATGAAAGTTTGACAAATTTACATCGAAATGACTTACAAATTTAAGAAGAGTGCTTACATAGGCGCCCGACTATGATATATTTATAAGCATGACCTATATATCTTATATATATAGGTCATGCTTATAAATATACCAGAGTCGGGTGCCTATGGATGATTCCTAAATGTTCAGCCATGCCGCCTGAAACCTGCAAACTGGTCCAAACCGGATAATAGTTTTTAGACCGGTCATTTATATAGATTACGAAAGAAAAAACACCAGACTAGGTTTAGTCTATAGATAGGTAAGAAATAAATAGCTGTTTTGCACATGAAACAGAACACCGCCAGCGAAGGTTTTCCGTCTTGAAATGTCGAACGCCTCACTGGTTGACACATAACTGAGTAGATCTAGATCCTAACGAGATTCTTTTATGTAACGAGTAGATTATTGTCTATTTCTTTTGATTAAGCCACTGCTGCTCATGACCTTATAATCAGGACATCCCGCTTCCAAGCTGCGCGAACTTATTCACTGAGCATGCGCTATGAGCGCAGCCCAGCGCAGCGCAGCACAGCCATTGAAACCACTTTTCACCCAAAGCTGGGGTGAATTTAGTGAATCGTATGAACTCCGATTTCGCGGTGTTTTTTCATCGCGTTATTTCTCAACTTTATAAGTTGAATTTGCTTTTATGATGATTTGTAACTGTAAGTCCATACCGAAAGATGTCAGAGTTATGCAAGGGTATGCACAGTTTTGTTTTACGTGACGTGTGACCTTTAAGAAACACAACTCATTGAGAGGGAATATACAGTTAAAAGAAGTGTAGTTGATTTTGCATATAGAGTGAATGTAAAAGGCCATTATCATTGTTTATCGTTTGGTATGTCGTCAAACAAAGTGAATGATGTACAGATATATATCTATTAGAATAAACTTTTGATTTTTATAATCATAGCCACCTTCATAGCCTGCAGCCATACGGACTTGAGGTTCAACATTACTGAGTACCTAGACAACATAGGCATGTGTTGGACCTCAGTTGACCACTTGGTGTTGAGATAGAAATGGTCAGTAAGTGTAGATATGCTTCTGTATGATGTGTGAACTATGACAGAGGTGAAAGATCCTATTCCATTTAACTATTATCATATTATCTTACATCGTAAGTCATTAGTAACTGCTGTCTCGTTTCAAGTGGAAGAGACACAAACCTTTGTCAATATTTACCACAATCTTTTTAGTAGCAATGAAATTATCCAAATCGTTCAGACCTAGCCATGTTACAGTGATTTCATTTGAATGTGAATTCATTTCTTGAGGCTACCAATTAAACATCAGACAACGTTATGGGCGGTAGATATTTCCAGCATACATGACATACCAGACTTATCACTGAGTCAACATGAGCATAACTTCAAATCTTAACAACGGGGAAACCCATGATAACAGACAGTAAAATGAACTGTTATACTGCAAAAGGAACACGTCATTTGCACCGAAGGTTTTACAGGAGCGCGAATATAAGTTTGTTTTCTCAGTTAAGTGACGACCACCAGTCCTCAACTGCTTACTATTCCTGTCTTTCCTGTCAGACACTTAATGACGGAAGCTGACCCCTGAGTATACATTCATTCCAGGCTGCGCCATTCACGTTAATAGATTGTCCAGACTATCAACAGCCATTCCATGTACACATTGGTACAGTCTGGCCTTTAAACTACAATAAAACACAATTTCTGGCAAACTTGTTCGGCTAACTTTCCGAGCACAGTTAAGCTGAACACATCAACCCTAGTTCCGCACCAAATGTCACCTACTTGAACATATCTGTACACACATAAGCATAAGTCATGGTGATACAAATGACAGTACTAAATACTTAAAATTGTGGTCAGTTTTAATGACTGGACGGATGTGCTTTTAAAAACATAAACATCTTACACTATTTCATCCAATCACAGTCTCTTCAGTTGCGGCCCGGCTCAACGAGCAAGCGATTCTGCTTTAGGTGTAGTGGAACCTGTATATACTGCACCCCCATTCACGCACGCAATAATCATATACGGGCCCACATGGCACATGAATATTATTTGCTAACAGCTACAATCGTTTATTGTTCACAGATATGGAAAATAAATACTCAGAACTTATGAGTTGTTCCTTGTACTAGATCTTGAGTGGTTAAGAATGAAATCTATTTTAAACTGCTGTGATACCTCGCCCTTTGATTTAACAAAATGCGCTATGGTATTTCGAACAAGACTGGCTTTTGACCTAATAAATAGCACCTAAATTCACCTCATATTCAGAGTGTGATATTAATTCTATAAAATTCAATAAAAGATTTTGCTGTGTGAAAACTCGAATCAGCAAATAAAACTCATAACACTCATAAAATAATTGAATAATAACCACAGACCACTAAGGTCTTTCCCCCCCCACACACACACAAACACACACACACACACACACACACACACCTTACAGCAGCACAGCTGAACAAAGAACCTGATACTGTCATTTCAAGGAGCTGTCCTTTAAGTTTGATAGCATAGATTTGTTAGACGGAGGGGTAGCCTGGTAGTAAAAGCTCCCACTCGTCACAGGTTCGATTCCCCACATGGGGAATTCCCTTCCATGGAAGCCCATTTCCGTCGTGATAATGCTGGTATATTGCTAAAAGCAGCGTAAAGCTACACTCACTCAATTATGAGAATATTGTCGAATACTCAATAGGATATGCAAATCACATAATATTTATCTACGAAATACATATTATAATCACATTTAGAGATCCTAGCTAATATTTTTTATGATAAATGGCTCGAAAAACGGATGGTACGAATGACTTGAAGTGCTGTCCAATTTAAAGCTAAAATACTTTTGTTAAACTGAAATTTATAACATCAGAGTGAAGTGATTATTTGTTTGCATCTGTGTCTTTTTGTTCAGCGCCAGATGTGTTTCAGATGCATCAGCTGGATGCTTGAAAAGGTCCTGAATCTAGGATTCGAATCGAAGATCATTGGATCCAGGCATGAGGAAGAGACACAACTCCATACAGATAATTGTTTAAACCTAGGTCGCTGCGCCAGGTGTGTCGCCACAAGTCACCAGATGTCTCTTGTGTATTCAGACTGAGATAGATATGGTTATCAAATATGTTACAATATACTGTCTATGCTGTAGGTGTGAGGCAAAATGTCGCCCAGGGAACACCAGCATGGATGAGCACTACACGTCAACCTACACAGTCTGCTGGTAATGCTGTAGATGGAGTGACTACTGCAACAAGTGATAGGTACTCAGCACACACCAGTGAGAGTCAAGCTAATGCTTGGTGGAAGGTGGATCTACAGTTGCAAGTACAGTCACCAGTGGTTAGCATCTACTTCAGAACAGACTGTAAGTATGTCACACTTTTGCTGTTCAAAGGGTGTATTAGTTGATGCTTCTTGAAACCCACTGACACAATGTGGTGAGTGGATGGTGCTGTGTACGTAAAATCTGTACAGTGTTGGAGCATCCAAGACTCTAGCAAAGGAATCCGCAAAACATACATGTAAACTCACCTTAAACCCGGGTGGTGGGGGTGTCAGAATCACAGTAATGAAACAATATTCAACACATAGTTGACTTTCACTGATGGATATTTTGTTGTAATTTAGTGCTACTTTGAACAAAACCCAATATCACACAAAATGTCCGGATAAAGCCATATATATCGTATGTCTCAATGGAGTCATGACAAAATGACGTTTGATCGGATACCAACCTTTTAGAAGTTTGATTCAATGACAGGTTATTGTTTCGGTCCATTGCTATATCGCCCTGAAATATTAGCGCAATAATTATATAGTATGACAAGACATGGCGATATCGCGACACGATATAGTACGAAAAAGTACGTATTAGCGATAGCATAAAGCGAGAACATAACACAGTATGGCGATAAAACGAAAAGGCGATATTGCGATATGGTGACAAGATATATCGATACAGCGATATAGGGATAAGACGATATCGTTGCCATTTGTGAACATAAGAAAACGAACACGTTGATTCCCTCGTTGAAACTAAAAAGCTCACCAGGTATCATAGTCCGTTAAAGATCTAGGTGTCAAACCAACAGACAAGAAGGAAATGTGCTGTATTTAACAATTGTGTTCAAAATGTAAATTTGTTCACAAATCAAATACATGTCAATACTAAGACATCACTATGGCAATACAAAATAGTGTGGCAGTACAAATTCATAGAGACAGTGTAATACAAGAACAACAAATACAGTGATGGTAATAATTGTCTCTCAGCTACACTAATCCACTAGGCAGGATATTATCATCACACAATAGGGCCCGTAAGTATGTCAGGGTATTTCGCGAGACCTTAGTGCTTCCGGAGACAACAACGTTTCATACCTTTTCGAATTGTCTCATGGATTTCAGTTGACAGTGAGTAACGGATTATCCTTGCAGGAATAACAAATTTTCGATCTAACCATCCCAAAATTAGCAAACTCTTACGACTGCCAATATCCGTGCATGGTTGTACACTTGGTCCAGTCTAGTAAAAGTCATATTTGGCGGTTGCGCAATTTGGAACCTGAAGTGGTATTTGAATATACGCTTGTCACCGGAAATCTGGTACCTGAAGTACCTGAGTCCCGTCTCGCATATCGCAAGTTGGCGCGCGCAAAGGGAGCCGGGAACCAGATTAGTACTGGAAGTAGCGCCTCGAGAGACTTGGGATTTAATAGGAGATGGGAGACAAGTGCTAAGCCCCTTCCACTGCCCATTAATGAATGTAAAAGTACAATGTATAAGAGTTTAAAACTAGTATCCTCTCAAACCAATCCTAGTAGTACATTACGTTTACAGTTAATTTACGCATGCATGGTATCTTTTAACATTTGATACAAGTAATGGCACATTATCTGAGCTTTACTGACACTCCGATGGATGATTAAAGTTTTAATGTAGCTGTTTCCAGCTACTAGTGTTACTGACACGTTGCTGCAACCGAACGTTGGATTAATGTGTCGAGAAGTACATGGAAGGTTGAATTGTTAAATGCTACTCACAACGAGACGCTCAGTCAGTCCAACCACTTGTTGACGTGTATCAAAATGTCATAAGCAACTTCAGTTCGGTCATATCTATGAAGTGAATTAAATATATTAATGATGAACGTGATAATATGACACATTGCAAACGTATTTTTTCAGATAAGAAACGACGTAATGGCCTCCAACTCTACACCTCTGGGACAAATTCATCTGACCCCAAAGAAGGAGATATATGTGACACAGTTAGAGGACGTGCTGACGGTACAGACATTCCTGATGTCCTGAATGTCACCTGTCCTGGGACCTGGCGCTACCTGACCGTATACACAGAGACTGATAATGATGAGTATGGTGCTATCTTGGACTTCGCTGAAGTACAGGTGTGGGGTAGGTATACAAACAACGACAGACCAGCTAGAACACAGTAACCAGGAAATAATCAAGTCTAGATACCACAAACCAAAGATTGACGTAATGAGCAGAATACACGTAATCGGGGTATGATTACGGACAGGTATTCGATAATATAATATGACTAATGTTACCACCTGCTGACAGATCCCCTCTGTAGTCAGGTAGACGGATCCATCTTTCAGCGTCAGATATGAAACTAGTCTGATAAACACTTCGGATGGTTATAAGTAGGATGCACTATAAACTAGTTTGTTTCTAGAACCAGCTTAACGTCTGTGGGAATGTATATTTCGTTATGTGCTCAGAACTATTGAACATTCAAGTACAACACATACAGACACTGTAATTAGAATATTGTATTTGATTAGATAAGTTTATTGTGTTGAACCTGGCTGAACACATATCGGACTGGTCCCTGACCAAACCTTCACGATCATACGTTCCCACCTGGTCCTGATTAGAACTCCAGACACTCTACGACTTTAACCACTTGATCAACGATCATACATGAGCACATGGTTTATGATCATATCTACGCACCTGTTCTACAATTTGACCCTCCCGCCTACTCTACGATCAGACGTACCCATTTGCTCTATGAACAGACGATCATTACTTTCTCCCCGGTCTGCGATCAGACCTTAACACCCAGCCCGGCATTAGACCTGCCCACCTACCCAAAACCTACACAGTGTATATACTGAATTTTTCTTTGGTGACATTTCCAACAAACGCAGTAGTAGGAGCACAGCATTCGTTTTCACACCGAATATGCTTCGTTTGATTTCATCTAGACACTTAGTTTTGGTGACAAATACCATTTGGTATTTGATTCTAAGATGTTTGAGGAAATCAGTAGTGTGTTTGTGTGTTTGTCGCCACCGAGTGTGGGAAGTTCGGATCCCAGATCGTGTCAGTATGTTTGATCGTAGACCAGGTGGGTGTGTTTGATCGTAGACCAGGCGAGCTATTCTCGAAACGTCCGTAGCCCTACGAACTTCTTAAGCCCATTCTTAACACATTGGATACGATCAAAGTTACGAATTCTTAGGGCTACGAACGTTTCGAGAACAAGGGTCCAGGTGGGTGTGACTGATCGTAGACCAGGTTGGTGTGACTGATCGTAGACCAGGTGGGTGTGTTTGATCGTAGACCAACTGGGTATGTCTGATAGTAGACCAGGTGGGTGTGACTGATCGTAGACCAGGTGGGTGTGTCTGATGGTAGACGAAGGGGATATGTCTGATCGTAGACCAGGTGGGTGTGTCTGATCGTAGACCAGGGGAGAATGTTTGATCGTAGACCAGGTGGGTGTGTCTGATCGTAGACCCGGTGGGTGTGTCTGATCGTAGACAAGGTGGGTATGTCTGATCGTAGACCAGACGGAGTGGTTGTGTCTGATTGTAGACCAGGTTGGTATGTCTGATCGAAGACAAGGTGGGTGTGTCTGATCGTAGACCAGATGGGTGTGTTTGATCGTAGACCAGGTGGGTATGTCTGATCGAAGAGCAGGTTGGTATGTCTGATAGAAGACCAGGTGGGTGTGTGTGATCGTAGACCAAGTGGATACGTCTGATCGAAGACCAGGTGGGTGTGTTTGATCGTAGACCAAGTGGGTATGTCTGATCGAAGAGCAGGTGGGGGTGTGTGATCGTAGACCAAGTGGGTATGTCTGATCGAAGACCAGGTGGGTGTGTCTGATCGAAGACCAGATGGGTGTGTCTGATCGTAGACCAGGTGGGTATGTCCAATCGTAGACCAGTTGGGGGTGTATGATTATAGACCAGGTGGGTGTGTCTGATCGTAAACCAGATGGGTATGTCTAATCGTAGACCATTTGGGGGTGTATGATCGTAGAGCAGGTGGGTATGTCTAATCGTAGAGCAGGTGGGTATATCTGATCGTAGACCAGGTGGATGTGTATGATCGTAGATCAGGTGAGTGTGTCTGATCGTAGACCAGGTTGGTATGTCTAATCGCAGACCAGTTGGGGGTGTATGATCGTAGAGCAGGTGAGTGTTTCTGATCGAAGATCAGGGGGGTTTGTCTGATCGTAGACCATGTGGGTATGTTTTATCGTTGACCAGGTGGGTGTCTATGTCTGATCGTAGACCAGGTGTGTATGATCGTATGCCAGGTGGGTGTGTCTGATCGTAGATCAGGTGAGTGTGTTTGATCGTGGACCAGGTGTGTATGTCTGATCGTAGAGCAGGTGGGTGTGTATGATCGTAGACCAGGTGGGTATGTCTGATCGAAGACCAGGTGGGTGTGTATGATCGTAGATCAGGTGAATGTGTCTGATCGTAAACCAGATGGGTGTGTCTGATCGTGGACCAGGTAGGTATGTTTGATCGTAGACCAGGTGGGTGTGTTTGATCGTAGACCAGGTGGGTATGTCTGATCGTAGACCAGGTGGGTATGTCTGATCGTAGACCAGGTGAGTATGTCTGTTCTAAGATCAGGTGGGTGTGTCTGATCGTAGACCAGGTGTGTATGATCGTAGACCAGGTGGGTAAGTTTGACCGTAGACCAGGTGGGTGTATCTGTTGGTAGACCAGGTGTGTATGTCTGATCGTAGACCAGGTGGGTGGATCTGATCGTAGACCAGGTGGGAGTGTTTGATCGTAGACCAGGTGGGTATGTCTGATGGTAGACCAGGTGGATAAGTTTCATCGTAGACCAGGTGGGAGTGTTTGATCGTAGACCAGTTGGGTATGTCTGATCGTATTTCAAGTGGGTATGTTTGATCTTAGTCCAGGTGGGTGTGTATGTCTGAGCGTAGACCAGGTGTGTATGATCGTAGACCAGGTTGAATGTGTATGATCGTAGACAAGCTGGATGTGACAGATCGTAGACCAGGTGGGTGTGTCTGATGGTAGACGAAGGGGATTTGTCTGATCGTAGACCAGGTGGGTGTGTCTGATCGTAGACCCGGTGGGTGTGTCTGCTCGTAGACCAGGTGGGTGTGTCTGATCGTAGACCAGGTGGATAGGTTTGATCGTAGACCAGGTGGGTACGTCTGATCGTAGACCAGACGGAGTGGTTGTGTCTGATTGTAGACCAGGTTGGTATGTCTGATCGTAGACAAGGTGGGTGTGTCTGATCGTAGACCAGATGGGTGTGTTTGATCGTAGACCAGGTGGGTATGTCTGATCGAAGACCAGGTTGGTATGTCTGATAGAAGACCAGGTGGGTGTGTGTGATCGTAGACCAGGTGGGTATGTCTGATCGAAGACCAGGTGGGTGTGTTTGATCGTAGACCAAGTGGGTATGTCTGATCGAAGAGCAGGTGGGTGTGTCTGATCGTTGACCAGATGGGTGTGTCTGATCGTAGACCAGTTGGGTATGTCTGATCGAAGACCAGGTGGGTGGGTGTGATCGTAGACCAAGTGGGTATGTCTGATCGAAGAGCAGGTGGGTGTGTGTGATCGTAGACCACGTGGGTATGTCTGATCGAAGACCAGGTGGGTGTGTCTGATCGTAGACCAGATGGGTGTGTGTGATCGTAGACCAGTTGGGTATGTCTGATCGAAGACCAGGTGGGTGGGTGTGATCGTAGACCAAGTGGGTATGTCTGATCGTAGACCAGGTGGATGTGTCTGATCGTAGACCAGGTGGGTTTTTTCTGATCGTAGACGAGGTGGGTATGTGTGATCGTAGACCAGGTGGGTATGTCTGATCTTAGACCAATTGAGTTTGTCTGATCGTAGACCTAGTGGGTATGTCTGATCGTAGACCAGGTGAGTATGTCTGATCGTAGACCAGGTGGGTATGTCTGATCGTAGACCAGGTGAGTATGTCTGATCGTAGTCCAGGTGGGTGTGTCTGATCTTAGACCAGGTGAGTATGTCTGATCGTAGACCAGGTGGGTGTGGCTGATCGTAGACCAGGTGGGTGTGTCTGATCGTAGACCAGGTGGGTATGTCTGATCTTAGACCAGGTGAGTATGTCTGATCGTAGACCAGGTGGTTTTTTCTGATCGTAAACGAGGTGGGTATGTGTGATCGTAGACCAGGTGGGTATGTCTGATCGTAGACCAGGTGGGTATGTCTGATCGTAGACCAGGTGAGTATGTCTGTTCTTAGACCGGATGGGTGTGTCTGATCGTAGACCAGGTGGGTATGTCTGATCGTAGACCAGGTAGGTATATCTAATCGTAGACAAGCTGGGTATGTATGGGTATTTGGTATATGAATTGGAGACAAGAGAAGATCATGCCACTTGAATCTGAAGAGCAAATTCTACATACCTACTTACTATAACCCATTGGTCTGGGTGACATCAGTATTCAACCTTCATGGCATAGCAATTGTTTGTATCAATGTATCTTAACGTTCATATTTATTATGTCTTATTTTTATGGAATTTAAAGCAAGTCTAACGTTCCCTTCGTCCCAAACTATTCTTACTGTATTTGGGGAGGTGGGGTAGCCTATTGGTTAAAGCGTCCGCTCGTCAAGCCGAAGACCCGGGTTCGATTCCCCACATGGGTACAATGTGTGAAGCCCATTTCTGGTGTTCCCTGCCCTGATATTGCTGGAATATTGCTAAAAGCGGCGTAAAACCAAACTCACTCACTTACAGTAACTGCATTTACTATGTCATTGTTCTATTGTCCATTTTGGAGAGCATTAAAATATGCAGAGTGTAGAGCCGCAGGTCCCATGACACGACGAGTAGCATGCCCTTGTTTACATGGCTTGTTGCACACCGTATGGGAAAATGAATCGTCTATTTGGCCATGGCATAAATGTAATTTGCCAGATGTTACCCAATTGTAGAAAATGTGAATCAGATACATTTTTGACGTCATGGCTTAGCTATATCTGTAGTTGACATGTCGTAGAAAGACGACATTAGTATATCGATTGACCGACCATAAGGCCGTTTATTTTTATTAATTGGTTTACGGATTTTTTTCCCAAAAACCTAGGGTCGGTGGTCGAAATAAAAATAATAATAAAATCGAAAGTCTTCAATTTTTTTAAGTGTTTGTCTCAACATTTGGGTCGTTAGGATTAACAAAAATTCCAAATTTTGATATTGTAAGAGGAGAGTAATTATTGTTAATCATAAGAGTGAATGACTGAGTTTTCTAAACTCTGTAATAATATCATAAAGATGTTTACGTCACCTGTAGAATGCGGTTACCTCACTATTACAATTAACCTGACATCATTTAATAGTCGTTGGTTGGTGACAGTGCAACAATGAACATGCCTCTTTTCCATCATTGAAGCATCGAATATATAGAATTTGTCATGTTTCCAGTGTAATATCTCTGCAAATATCAGCATTTCTCCATTATGAGATGAGAGGTAACTGATATTGCATTGGAAACATGAAATACCCTCTATATTTGATAAAATGAAAGTACAAACAAGGGACATATTCACTACTGACTTTAATACTGCCCAGTTGTCTTTGACTTGTTGCTTATTTGTTTACTAAGTGCAGAAATCAATGACTAAATTTGAACATATTAAACAAAATAATGAAATAGTTGGAGTGTCTTCAATGAGTCAAGTATTTTCTTCCCAGATAGCATTCAGACGTTGGCCCAACGTTGGCCGCAGACCCGGGTTCGATTCCCGACATGGCTGCAATGTGTGAAGCCCATTTCTGGTGTTCCTCGCTGATATTGCTGGAGTATTGCTAAAATTGGCGTAAAACCATATTCACTCACTTACTGCATTAACTATGCCCTTGTTCTATTGTCCATTGTGGAGAGCATTAAAATATGCAGAGTGTAGAGCCGCAGGTCCCATGACACGACGAGTAGCATGCCCCTGTTTACATGGCTGGTTGCACACCGTATGGGAACATGGCATATTTTGATTGATCATAGTATAAAGAGCCTTGATTTGTGTAACAGAATGTGATGCTTTTAGACACATGACCTGAATAAATAACAGGTTAGGTTGGGTTCTTGTATATTGTATTTGGACACGAAGGCACCCGTTAGGCAACACGTTTACATGAATGACATACTTAACATGTATATTTCAAAACTGATGCGTTATTTAATACTGGGCACGAATTTGTTCATTATTTTCTCGTCAGTTTGTCTGGGAATTATACACCAAAACTAGGTTTTTTTGTGTTTGGAAAAGGGTATAAATTGTGACATTGTTTGTAGTACAGTAAAATGTACAATAACCTGTGATATATCACTATATTTATACCGTTTGAAACAGTTTAATTGATTCTGCAACTGAAAGTTAAAGGTATTATTGATGTCTGAAAGAAGCCCACCTCCGTTCAGAACAATCCTCTAAATTGTTGGGGAAAAACGCATGCCAGTGTAGATACTGTAGTAAATAACCACAAACATGTTGATATGACCGTTTAGGCGGCCTGCTCCGCGCACCTGTGTTGAGGGTGTCAAATAATATTCTTTCGATAATAGTGTTTTATACTTCAAATTGGTTTGCAAGGGCGGTGGGGTAGCCTGGTGGTTAAAGCGTTCGCCGCTCTTCATGCCGAAGGCCCGGGTTCGATTCCCTGCATTGGTACAATGTGTGAAGCCCATATCTGCTGTCCCCCTACGTGATATTTCTGGAATATTACTTAAAGCGGCGAAAAACCAAACTCACTCACTTACTCTAATTGTTCTGCACTGAAAAGAGAGCTTGTTTTGCCAAGCAAGCTTCTTGCTAAACTGGCATGAGTGTCAGCCTCCATACACTTATATGAGTATTAACCCATATTATTCCCATACTGCTCAGTACCCAGAGCATGCGATTTGGAGCATTATGGAGTCAACTGTGGCCAGTCCTGTGATACACGTCACTGCAAGATGGACTCCAGCTGTGATGTAACACTTGGACAGTGTGTCGGTGGATGTGCGGCTGGATATCAGGGAACGGACTGTACTCAAGGTAATACGTGTAACATATCACTTTACCCATTATACCACACACCACTTCTATTGTAGGATTGAACTAACAATTGTCAAATGTTGTTGCCTACAGTTGTATTTACAGCTATACAAATAACAATCAATAATTGTTTGAGACAAATGAGTGTTGGAAATGATAAATCCCACAAATCATCTCATCGTGTGCCCCAAGATCAGTATATTAGTGTGAAAATGATTACTTTGCCTACAACAGTAATTAAATACTTCCTGATATAACTCGCCATGCCTTTCAGCCTGTGGCACTTCGATTTATGGAGAAGAATGTAGCAAGTCCTGCAGCAGCCGTCACTGTCAGACGCCATCTAACACATGTGATCACGTGACTGGAAGGTGTCCCAACGGCTGTATGCCTGGTTACACGGGAGATGACTGTTTACAAAGTATGTTTTGTTTTACTGACAATCTGCTGACATTTTACTAGTGCCCAATGGGTGGTACTGTCGTGATATTTTAAGTATCACATTGTTTACTCATAAAATATAACGCAAGGATGTTAAAGCAACATTTTCACCCAACGAAGTGATAGTTAGGGGCGTAATATATGATACCTATACTACAGAAATCACAGGATTTACAACTATTAAGCTTATACAGAAATGAGCGTTGTTAATTGCAGTACTCTGATGATTATGGGTGATGCATTGTGCTCATTGATTTAAGAAGAAAATGAAAAGCTTCATTATAACGTAGTACGAATAGATTCAATTACGGAATGTTTTTTCAAATATACCCAAAGGCAAGTGCTACTGCGGACCAGGATAACTCGTTGATATTGTTATGATTAAGATACTGCTGTTCTGATACAATTATCTCGCCGGCATGTGTCAGATCAAAGGCTTTGCTATGCATGAAATGGTTTACAGTTCTCTGAATCGTGCATTTTGGCAATGAAAGCCCAATCACACTGCAACTTAGTCTTAACCCAACGTGACAGACACTCCGAAGCAACTGACGGCCAAATAAAACTGCCATCACCTACACGAAGTTTGTGCATATTGGCCTTGTATCCTACTAAAACCAAGCATTCTTCTTAACACGCTGAATTAAGTCAACTTGGATAAATTTAGGACGGTAATAGTTTCTAGCATCCACCTCCTGATACCACGGAAAACATTCTTACGGCATGACAGAAACCGTTTTTTGGCAAATGGTCATCTCATTATCGTCTTACAATCGAAAAGGTTTCTTTTTTCTTCTCCCTAATTCTTTGTCTAGATCAAATTGACTTTGGGGTTTGAGTTCACTTAAATTCAGTTATGCCTCATTTATAGAAATATTGAATTTGAGGACAAAGAAAGTTAAACCTGTCTCAATACACTGATTCGTTAATGAATTCGCTTGAATATGTTTTTGTTGAGCAATCAAGAATATAAATATCTTCTTAAGCAGACCCGATCGCTGTGCATAAATTGCTGTTCAAGGTTTAATCATCATGCAATGGCCTTACTGCAGTTGGAGAAGAGTAAGCAGTTTCAGCATATTTGAATACACGAATAATGTAAGAAATAAGTGACGTCACTCAACTATAGGTTCAGCGTGTGCGTCTGGTCGTTATGGAGACAGCTGTAGCAAGGACTGCAACTCCCGATACTGCCTCAACACGAGAGACCCCTGTCCCCCTGACACAGGGGCGTGTTCAGCGTGCCAACCAGGGTGGGCAGGACCAGACTGTACAGGTATGTACAGGATTGTACGTCAATGCACAATGTCGATTTGTACCGTTTTGTAAGTCACCTTTTGACCATATGTAACAGATAAGTGGCGTTATTCAAATGAGCATGTATTTCAGAATGTGTGCCTGGTCGTTATGGAGACAGCTGTAGCAAGTACTGCAACTCCCGATACTGCCTCAACACAGAGGATTCCTGTCCTTCTGACACAGGGGCGTGTTCAGCGTGCCAACCAGGGTGGGCAGGACCAGACTGTACAGGTGTGTACAGGATTGTACGTCAATGCACAATGTCGATTTGTACCGTTTTGTAAGTCACCTTTTGACCATATGTAACAGATAAGTGGCGTTATTCAAATGAGCATGTATTTCAGAATGTGTGCCTGGTCGTTATGGAGACAGCTGTAGCAAGTACTGCAACTCCCGTCACTGTCGCAACGCAGGAGACTCCTGTCCTCCTGCCACAGGGGCGTGTTCATGGTGCCAACCAGGGTGGGCAAGACCAGACTGTACAGGTATGTACAGAATTGTACGTCAATGCACAATGTCGATTTGTACCGTTTTGTAAGTCACCTTTTGACCATATGTAACAGATAAGTGGCGTTATTCAAATGAGCATGTATTTCAGAATGTGTGCCTGGTCGTTATGGAGACAGCTGTAGCAAGTACTGCAACTCCCGTCACTGTCGCAACGCAGGAGACTCCTGTCCTCCTGCCACAGGGGCGTGTTCATGGTGCCAACCAGCGTGGGCAAGACCAGACTGTACAGGTATGTACAGAATTGTACGTCAATGCACAATGTCGATTTGTACCGTTTTGTAAGTCACCTTTTGACCATATGTAACAGATAAGTGGCGTTATTCAAATGAGCATGTATTTCAGAATGTGTGCCTGGTCGTTATGGAGACAGCTGTAGCAAGTACTGCAACTCCCGTCACTGTCGCAACGCAGGAGACTCCTGTCCTCCTGCCACAGGGGCGTGTTCATGGTGCCAACCAGGGTGGGCAAGACCAGACTGTACAGGTATGTACAGAATTGTACGTCAATGCACACTGTCGATTTATACCATTTGGTAAGTCGTGTTTTTGTTATTAGACGGTTACTGGGACATAATCATATCACTGTCAGTAATATTCCCCAGCTGTGTGCGATGACAACAGGTTTTTAAGGTTTTTAGAATGATATTGTGTGATGAAGAAGTTATTATGTTTTGATAGAGTATATTTATACACGTTGGTCATTGTGTCATAACTTATTCATAACTTTGTTGTACCTTTCTTTGTAATTTTGTCAAATTTATGTTGGTAATTATCTGAAAATGCAACACCATTTTGGGATGGAACACATCCTTTATTAGAAACTCCATCCATTTAGAACACCCAAGTCCAGTTGATATGTCAGATCACAGACTATGGATGAACTGCTTGCATCTTGTGTTTGATAGTATAGCCCAGTCACATTGCCACTGGCTTTGACTTAAACTGTGGCATCACAAGAATCAGTATCCCATCAGTTACATGTAGAACATACTGGCCTTTTATCTGATTGGCAATAAGCATACTGAGTGGATGAGACATAGATTTTACTGAATACATAGATTCAGACACGACATTTATGTTTTGCAGTATGCGCCTCCGGATATTATGGAAGCAGCTGCAACCAACTGTGTAGTAACACTCACTGCAGTCATACCTGTGGTGGAATACAGTGGAGTTGTATCGGTGGATGTTTGGCTGGATACCACGGACAATACTGTACACAAGGTAATGTTTGAGGTTACTTACGTCACCTCATACTTTTAAAATGTGTTTTTATAACGGAATCAGGGTCTTGTGGACGTTTTATGCTGACAAAAGTGTCTTTAACTTCACCAGGCAATGGCGCCAAACATGCATATTTTTGTTTTCAAAAGACACTTTTATGAATTTTGTCTTCATTACTAATATCAGAATTCAGTTAGTGACATCGTCATTTGAAAACGCATGTAAATGCAAACTTTTAATGAGTTGTTCACATGAACAAACACAGCAACACATGGTTCACGGAACTAAATAGGATTACATTTTGGTCGCTGATAATTCCAACATGGTAATATCCAACCTAACATCTTGGAATCTTTACAAAGTACTTGAATGTTGTAAGCCCGGCAGTGATCAAACACTTTTGTACATGAGTCGTAAGATATAGTGTCTATAGGTCACGTGAAATCCGATGATGTTGGTACGGATACTGAAGTCCATAGACAGACCATGGATGCTCTGAATAACCTGTCTACAATAGATCATTGCAGTTTTTCTGCTCCAAATAGACTAGACTTTTGCCGTGGTTTTCGAATTGGCAGAATGACTTCCCAGTTAAACAGAACTGAAGAAACCAGATTCTGTTTTTGCAGTCGAGAACATCATAGCTCCTACTTAGGAGATAAACATCATGTGTTGGCCAATTTCCGGGTGTATTGATTATTTGAAGCACGGGAAATATTCCCGTGCTTCAAATATTCAATAACACCCGGGAATTGGCCAACACATAATGTTTATCGACATTGTAAACACAAAAGTAAACCAAAACGTCCACACACGTTTTTGTGTCTGCACTCATTGACATCGAGTACGGGTACATCAGACGGCCGTCTCCCATGGTAGTATCTGGAACTGCTAATTTATGACGTCATTCGGACTTTACGTCACAATATGATTTTAATGACGTCATCACAGCTGATGACGTAACAATACAATGGTGTGAGAGATGTTTGTATGTATTAATACGCAGCGAATTTCCGGGAATCGAATACCATTTGATCACGTTTTTCAACCAATCAGATTGAAGAACACAGTGACTTTTGGTTTACCATTATGATTTTCCACAAGAAAAACTTGCAGCTGAATCTCGGTTTTATTGTCAACTGCTGTTACTTATTTGTAGCAGTATCCATTTTGTCGTCGCCGCGTTTGAATAATTTGAATAATATATTTTTGCGTACAAAGATCAGTTTGTTTCAATTTTTACGAGTATATATTTTAATGAATTTGATTATTATATTTGCAAGTATGCTCCTCTAGGTCCGCACACTAATATTAGCATTAATCCATGTTATTCCAATACTGCTCAGTATGCAACTCTCGGAATTATGGAGCCAACTGTGGCCAGTCCTGTGCTGCACGTGGCTGCAAGATGGCCTCCAGCTGTAATGTAACACATGGGCAATGTGTCGGTGGATGTGCGGCTGGATATCAGGGAACAGACTGTAGACAAGATAATATCTCCTTATATCTCGTTATCGGTGAAAACGTTTCAGAAAATATGTTTGTAAAACTTTTTCTGTAATGTTCGTTCCCTCGTCATAACATCTGAATGGCTAAATAAATCAAGCCATCTCATGATCTACTTACAATCGAAAGTCCATTCCTTCCAATATCCATTGTCTTTATTGCGTGCTTTTTTTTAAATGTTGCAGATGAATGAAAAGGAAGTCCAATATCCTTCACTACAATGATTGATATGGGTTATGTTAAATACCTCCTTTAAAATTTATGCAAACGAAAGTACCGCTGTAAAACAGCAAATTTTGTTTCAATTACGTCTGGATATGGTTAGCGTACAATAGGATAAATCATGATTCGGTTTGGAGCAGTTTAAGCAGTTACTATACACATGTACCAGTGATATAAGAACTAACTGACCTCACTGAACTCACAATTTATTTCAGCATGCACGTCTGGTGTCACGTACGGAGACAACTGTAGCAAGTCCTGTTATTCCCGCCACTGTGTCAACAACCTGGCTTCCTGTCCTCCTAACACAGGGGCGTGTTCAAGTGCAGGCTGCCAAGCGGGGTGGGCAGGAACTGACTGTACAGGTATGTACAGGATTGTACGTTGATGTACACTATGGATCTGTACCTTTCTCAAGTTTTGGTTGCAAGACTATAGCAATAACATAATGCTATTATTGCGATTAATAATAATAATAATGATGAGAAGTCATATAATGCGCTAATATCCGCGCAACAAAGCATGCTCAAAGTGCTAACACCCTGATTATTATAACCCCGTATAACCCAAGCTGCCTGTTAGCTGCTAGATGGTCACATGACTTTATCCAACAGGGTACCCATTTTTTGCTTGGTGAACAGAGGCAATTTTGAACAAACTCACTTGCCAAAGGTGAGACCACATGTGTCACATGTGCTTCGTTGTGGGGTAGGACGGGAAATCCTAGAATCTCTCAGGAGTCAAGCTGTCAAACACGGTGACCCATCCAAGGCCTGTCCGATTCGTGACCTGCGCTCTGCGCTCTGTGCACAGGACCACACGCCACCACAATTAATAGTCTGTAACTACACTACCACGGGGACAAATATTGAAGCAATAACATCTTTATTTACAGGCGGGCGTATATAAATACATACATTCTTGTGGCCATATGGGAAGGAAATTGATAGTGAAAGTGAAATAACAGTCCTGTGTGCGGATACCTTCTCGTCGGTAATAATCTGTGACGACCCGAGTACCATACGGTCTAGCATTGTTATCTGGCAGTTCATAGATTTGACTATAATTCACGTTAATGAACAAGACGACAAGGCAGCTTCTGTCAACGTGTCGCTGGCTAGTCTAACATCCATTTACAAGAACCAAATTAGTTGGCCTGTCACATTTTATACCGTCCAACACCACGACTCTACTGTTTCCATTCCAATGATGTCAAGATGTTGCTCTTGCTTCCCGATCGCCCCAATGTTGATATCGACTCCTCCTCTTTTGGCGCTCTACATAGAGCCGGGTTTATTATTATAGGATATATTAAACAGCGCACATATCCATGTATCTAGTACATGCTCAAGGCGCTGACATTTCACTGGATGTCAATCTCAACTACACATCGTATTATCAATATCAACTCCCCGGGGATCATACAACTTCTGCAGCCACTAGGCGCACCGAGTTATTGTGTCTTTCTCATCCTTACGAGGCACCCATTCACAGCTGGGTGGACTGGGACGCAGAGTCACAGTACTTTGTGCAAGTTCACTTCACGTAACTTTACCCGCAACTAGGTGTTTACACGTATTCATGTGGCCACCATCTGGTCATATACCAACGTATTCGTAGGTTCTTTTAAGTGCACAGGGTTGTGTACTGTACACTAGGGGTTGTGACAACGCTGAAAGGGTGAGCATGAGTGAGTGAGTTCAAATTTATGGTCACAAAAGGGTTAGAAGAGACCTGATAATTGGATACTGTCTTGTGCTAATGCAGGGCGTGCAGTTCATGCTTGATGTGAGATTTGTGTTGTGATTCAGGGTCTGTGTTGAAATGTAAAGCCACGTTATCAGATAGGTACTTCCACCTCAACCATACCTAAATGAAAGATTTGGTTAAATAAATTCGATCCCTCTATTCACTTGGTAGTATATGGTTACAGAATATATATCAATACATTTGAATAGATTGATTTACAAAACAGATATCGTCCGAGGGAGAACCAATTTCAGCAAAATCAGACCGTAGTGCTTGCTGTTTCCCAGAAATCTGTGGACAGCCTATGCACTTCTCAGCAAGGCCGAATTTAACTGTGTAAATATCTGGTCCTTTCTTACTTACCCCTTAATTTGTAGATCTCTGACTTCCACCGCTATTCCAGAGTGTGTCTACGGGATGTACGGAGAAGGATGTCGCAAGTCCTGCAGTAACCGTCACTGTAAGACGCCATCTAACCAATGTCATCACGTGACTGGAAAGTGTCCCGACGGCTGTGTCACTGGTTTCATTGGAGATGACTGTTTACAAAGTATGTTTCTTCTTTACCGATGATGTGTTGACGTCATGCATTGCATGACTGCCTTCTGAGTAATATGGCCAAGTTACTTTAAAACTGATTTCGAACTCATAGTCAAATAGAATTGTATGTAGGATTTAAGGAAGTTATATTATGATTTTGTCCAAAATGAGTAACAGCCCATGCAGGGACGTAATTTGTGGTAACTATTCTATACTTCAGAAACCACTGGATATACGGCTACTGAAATTATACAAGATCATAGCGCATTGATAACAACTATTTTGTTACGGAACTGATATGCATAGTTATTTTTGTAATATCTGAAATGCGCCGATTAGTGTTTATTAACGACACTGTGTTTACCTGTAATGGTGTATACTCATGCTGAGGAAGACATCTTATTATCGGTTATATTATTCATACTCTTTTTCACAAAATCCAAGAGACCGTCATAAGACTTGCTCAAAATGTGTTCAATCAATGTTATAACACTGAAGGCCTCAATAAAACGTCCGCACAGATTTATGGCAGACATGCGGTGGAAATATTAAAGAATGACACATCAGTGACAAAAACCGATGTCCCAATTTTGACTTGTGCCATATATTTCTGCGTATTAATAGGGAACAACTGACTTCTTTGAGTGGCATTTTACAAGTTTGAAGTCAGATAGAACAAGTATATATGGATGACAACTTCTTTAATTTTAGAACACGACGTTTCGATACAGGTTCTTGTATTTTCATACTTGAAAACGATACAAGAACTTGTATCAAACGTCGTGCTCAAGAATTAAAGAAATTGCCATCCATATATATTTGCTCTATATAGGGGAACAACTGCTTTTGCATGCTTTTTTTGACAGATGCCATCGATGAGTCAGGATACGCTCACCTTTTAGCGAACAGCTGTATCCTCACTATTTCATAATGATTTATAATCTATACTCATGACATATTCCATTATGCCTTCCGCGAAGATTTCTTGGTTGCAAGAACTTGTACAGACAATATTCATTCTAGAAAGAGATGTATAATTTAGCTTCTAATGTTTTTGAAAATAGATAAACAGTAATATTATATGTTTCAAAACTAGTTCAATGTTCGTATTTCTCTTCAGACTGTCCAGATGGCTATTATGGAACTCCCTGTTCTCTGAGTTGTGCCGACAGACATTGTAGCAGCACCTCCTGTCCTGCTGATGGGGCCTGTGGCGCTGAGTGTGAGGCGGGGATGGACACTGCAGAGTTGCACACAAGGTGATATGAACATAGTTCCTGCCTCAGTGGCGTACATGCATGGCCAACTTTTATAAACTAATATAAAACAATCCGTCACCAGAGAATGACAAGTCTCGATCATCCACAGAAACTGAATATGTGAATGGGTCGCTGAAAACCATGCCTCATAGATTTGGTATGATATAAGAGTTTTGAAATTAATGAAAATGTATTCATTGCCTATGTATCACAAGTGAAGGATATAAGGGTCATAACCACGTAACAGACAATCCAGAAAACAGCCAGTCACCCAAGAATCATAGTATGGGCTCGCTCATCGCATATGAACCTTGGTTACAATCCAGATGATACGCCCCACTCAAAATGCTCGTTGAAGTCAGCCAACATTTCAGATTGTTAAGGTTGTTTGACAAAGTAATGTCGCTGCCTTATTCGGAAAAGGAGATAGGTACATACAGGCCAACTATGTCATACACGTCATTTTACCCAGCTAAACCAACGAATAAAGTTTCAGATTCGAATTTAAAACTAGTACTTAGACCTAAAACAGTTTAAGTATAGATGACAATACAAGGTAAAACAGGCTATATATTACCAACAACTGACGGTAGATCACCATACTAAGGAACATGGGGACTTACAGTACATCTGCTTCCTGCATGGACCCTAGCTGGATTTACACCATCCCTTCAGCCGTTAGCAATTTAGAAAATCTAGCCATACATTAAAAAGAAACGTATTCTACGATTACAAACGTAAAAAATTTAAAGTTACTTTGAATGTTTTGGCACTTACGTATCCTGTCGCAGGGGGGGAGGGGGGGGGGGGCATCATTGTTACAGTACTTTAACCCCCTTTGAGGATACAGACACTCACATTCGAAGTTACTAATATACCAAACATAAAATATTTGTCTATTGACAAATCATTCAACAAATCTAATTCTTTTAAAAATGCAATAATTAAATGAGAACTTATATTATTAAAAATATCCTTCATAGTTCGTGCTTTGAAATAGTTATTCCTTGTGATGGAATATTCAATGCAGTCAAGCAAGACATGCTTGACCGTGATTCTTTCATCACAAGGGATATAAAACGGAAGATCTTCGCCTTTCAATAAATATTCGTGAGTATATCTAGCATGGCCGATGCGACATCGTAGCATAATGACCTCTTCAAATCTGGACTGACAACCCATGTTTGTGTAACCGATATAGGGTTCTATTTCATGTAGTTTTCTGATACCTACCTTGGTGTCCCACTTCTCCTGCGTCAGATCACGGATGTAAGTTCTAATGATAGCTTTGTAATCAGAGCATGGGATAAGAAGATTTCACAGATTTGTTGAGTGCTGCCTTAACAACAAATTCGGCCATTGTGTTCCCAGAAATACCAACATGGCTGGGGTAACCAACAAACGACGATGTCGCATTGGTCAGTAGCAAAATCATTATGCAATTCAATCATTATCCCTCGCGACAACGAAGTTGCGGGGGATATAGAAACGAGTTCCGTCCGTCCGTCCGTCCGTGCGTCCGTCACACTTTGTCCAAAGCATATCTCCTAAACTATTGGTGATAGCTTAACCAAACTTGGTACACATGCCAACCATGATCCCTTGCGGTTTCCATGGAAACATGACTATGAGGATGTCATCTCGTCCGGGGCAGATCTCCAAACTATACATTCTAGCTTCACCAAACGTGGTACATATGTCAAGCATGATCCCTAGATGTCGGAAAAGATTATGCCTTGTTTATATTTACGGTGTTTATTAATGTATTTAAGAGCTGTTAATATGGCGTTAGCTTCTGCTGTGAAATAGAGCTGTTT